AGTATTTGTGTTCGGAGAAGTCTGTCTATTCAATGCATAAACATTATTGCAGACAGTTTGCCTTATTTTATGGCAAAGCAAAATCATGTCCCTGTACTTAGTTATGATTCATATGCATGTTTACATAAATAATCCTAAAACTGAATTAATCTCTGAAAACACAGATTTATACCCTAAACCTACTAACTTAGAAATTATAGAAAACACAAGACTATACACATTCCAAAGCCATCAGAGCAATGACATCATCACATCATGTAGTCTCTAGAAAACTCCACTGTACGCTCATGAGAGAAAGAGAGTGAAAAAAGGCAAATAACCTCTTAAGGGTTATTATGAAAAAAGTTTTGATCTTGATGATTCCCTGAAAGGATCTTGGGGACCCCCCAGAGGCCCACAGACCACACATTGAGAACTGCTGTTCTAATGACTGCACCCCACCTTCCTAAGTCAAAAGAGTCCATGATCTCTTGTCCTGGATTCTGTCTCTTTTGCTTCTTTGCAAGGTTGCCCATGGGAAGAGGGGGTCAAAGAGGTCAAGACTGTGGTTGTGACTGCACAAGGGAGGCCCCAGCATTTCAATCAATATGTAAAAAGGGGTGGGGCTTCAACTGATTCAACATATTGGCTTTTCTGACCCTGTCTCCCAGGGATGGCCCTGCTCCTTTCCCAGAAGAGGACGACAGGCAGGATATCAACCTCCTGAATTCAACAGCTGCCTCTCCCTCTTAACTTCCTGGTTGTAAGAAGCATATTGATTTCCCTGTATCAGGCTAAGCTGCCCTGCTTTTTAAGATGACCTGATTAATGGAAGACCATGGAAGAATGGAGGAGAGTCTTAAGAAGATAAAAAAATAAACTGGAGGTGGTATGTAACTTTCTCCTACCTGGTATAAAAAGACCTCCTGAGAACCTTAAAAGACCCACAGCTCTGGGGCACATAAAGATTATCTGGGCAACAAATGACTGGAAATTGTTATTAAATCCATTTTCTTTAATAAACAGCTAAAATGACTTATAATAATTCAGACTGCTATTTTAACTCTTACTTTCTAGTATGTCCTCAGTACTTAACCTCCACAGCAAGGAACTGGGATGTGGGACATAGTCTTATGAAAGATCTGGTCAAAAATTCAGATGATGTGAATTAAGAAGGAATCCAGACTGAATCCACTAACTGTATGGCCCTTGGAATGGGAAGGAATGCCTGCCATAGGGTGACTGACCTGGATGATCTTTGATGCCCTATCACGATGCAGCAGGATCCAAGCAGTTGCTTAGTGGCTCCCTGTCATTTTGAACAATTTCACAATACAGACCTGTAGGGAAATGTAATAGTAATTTCTCTCTCTTCCGGATATTCTGGGAAGTTTAATTTCATAAATGGGCTATGTTCCTTTAGCTCCATCCCTGGGGGAGCCAGCACAAGGAAGCTCTGAGAAAAACCCTGAAAAAGTTAGCAATATGTCATTCTATTGCAATAAAGCCTGTTGCTCCTGCTTAAAATGGTACTTTCTGCACCACTGGAAATATCAGACAATAACTGCAAATAACACACACTACAAGATCCTTAGCCAAGCTCTAGAGCAGTGTTTTTCAAAGCTGGCAACTTTAAGATGTGTGGACTTCAACTCCCAGAATTCCCCAGCTGGGGAATTCTGGGA